AATCGTTTCGTCGAAAGATGCGAGATTTTACTTTTGATCTCGATATAAAACTAGACGGCGAACCTAATAGAGCTCTGGAACTTAACCATTCTTAACCCTGCAAGATGCTTCAATTACAATCAACTTTGGCAGCTTTTTCTAGCCTTTTTTTTCAACTACTGTCCTTTGGTGACGATGCCAATGGGTTACTTCCTCTTCCCGTAACACACTTGAGCATAAAATCATAAAAGAAGAGCAAATTGTCAAACTTATGTTCGTCTTCATTCGATAAACACTTCGCAGCAGTAAACTTTGCAAACTCTAACTGCAATTCTTTCATGAAATAGAACAACGCTTCGATTGTGGCGAGATAACTCTTCGGCAGTTTGCCTTGAGGTCTCCAAAAAGTGGTTTCATAAATTTCCACTAACTTTACAAATCGGACTGATTTTGCCGATTTTATTCTGAAGTCATCTAAAAAGTCATGAATTTGCGTCCAAGTACCGTCAACAACAACTAGTAAATCAAGTTCAATTATTTTGCAAAATTCTTCAAACGAATATGAACTATTTTCTGCAGAACAATTGAGATGGAAATCTTCGACAATTTCTCGTACTGGTTTCGCTGTTTTTGATGGGTAAAGCACCCAAATGTTTGGGTTTTCCGAGTCTGGTCGGGCCATTTTGCTATAATCCGGAATACGGGGGTACACATGATATTTACATGGGGAATTCACAAGCATAACAGCATGTAAAGCCGTGCTTTTTCCTGAAACCTCAATGTTGTGTTTCAAAATATGTAATGGAAATGGGAGTGAAACTCTCGGAACTTTCTTTCCGTCGAACCCGGAGCTCCAACGAGCGCAGTCGTAACAAAACCACTTTCTAGACCTGCCACAACTTAAGCAGTTGCCGCGATCTGCTATATTCAGACATGCTTGATCCGAAATTTGAACCTCAAAATCGTACTTTTTTCTTTTGATGATATTTTCTCCTGTCATATCCATGAGGATCTGTAAACAGCACTTTTGTAGTCGACCTTGAATGCTTTTATTTACTTTTCAATCCAAGTAATCTCAAAACTGATCTATACATGGCCCCAAAGATAGAAATTTTAAACCAATCAAACATATGGCGTCTTCCACTACGATTGGCAATAATTTGATAGCAAGGAACCGAATGTTTTGCAAACCGACTATATAATTACCTCGGAAAAAAGCCTCGGCTTTCTTACAAGTGACCAAATTTAGGGAGAAAAAGGTTATTTTTCTGGAAAACTCTCCCCAATTAGTGAAGCAAATTTCTCAGTTTTCAAACAGCCTTTGTACTTATTGTGCAGATAAAGAATTGATTACCTTCAACCTTCAAAAATCTTCAGGTCGATTGAGCTAACAAAAAACTGAAACCCGGAAAAAAGCGAGATAAAAAACAGTGCGCTCATTAGTTTTCATCTACACTAATCAGCAGTCTTATTAAACGGAGTATCAACAAGTTTGATATCAATGCTCGAAAAACATTTTAGGTGAATAACAAGGAGACGGGTCTGATCCAGACGGTGAACTTAATAACAAGCTAAGCAAACAAAATGAAGGCATTTTCGGCAGTACATGAATAATTGTTTCACAACTTGCTTTACCGCAATTCGAACTAAAAAGGACTAACTGCTGTAACAAATAGTGATTCAAAAATCGGCTAAAAACTTTCTTCTAATGAGATCCCTTGCTTCTGCTTCGTTCGCTTTACGGTTTCTCATAATTGTCTATTAAACTCATTCTATGGATCAGACCCGTCTCCTTGTCATTCACCACATTCTAACTCATTTTAACACAACAACTATGCCAAGAGAATTATACTGCATCGACAAAATGCTCACCGTCAAATTTAAAACTAGTATGCGATAGTTGCAGGTACTATAAGCTGTAAGTGCACTAAATACAAACGGAAACGCCTGATTATTTACAGAATTTTTTTCAAATTTTGAGTTCTATTAAACTAATCTCATTAAATTACAGCTATTTCATATGATTTCTATGATTGACACTTTTGGAGAATTTCTGACCCAAATGCATCAATAGATATTTACAGAGCGTTATTCATATCTGGTGGAATTTGAAAGCGAACTTCAAAGAAAAGACAAGGATGGCCGGCTGCTGAGCAATTAGCATTAAAATTTAATAAAAGTTTTAAAAAATGGGAAAACAATTTTATCCAGAAAAGGCTATTGAAATGGTGAACAAAAGCACAATTTACAAATTCATAGCTAATATAGCGTTAAAATTAAAGTATAATTTAAATAAGAGTTCAGACTCTAAACCCTATCTAATTGTTCCGACCATTTGAAAAATGCGGAACATTGTATTCGGGTGTTGTGTTTTAGTTTTTTTCCATGCAAAATCGGCTGCCACAAAATATCATCGAAGAGAGTTGAGCATATTAAAGCCCCCTTTTAGTCGTGATTCGAACGAAATTTGAAAATTTCAAAAAAAATTTCCCAGTGTCAAGAAAAACCGGTTTGAAAATTATGATTTTTAGTCTAAATTCGGGCAAATAACGCAAGCCATCAGGCTTCCAATAGCTTATTTTTGTTTAATTAGGCCGCAAAAACTTTGGGCCGTACTCGAGTAAAGTTGTTTTTCGATTTTTTCAAGCGCCATTTGAAATCAAAAAATTTATTATGATAACTTTGTTTTCTTTGTAATTTTTCTACAAATTTTGCCTATTTTGCTACAACTGTCGAATATTCTCAAGTCCTACGTTTTCGTTTAGATCATTTTATCATACCGCGCAGAAAACAATGTGACTAAATTACAAAAAAAAAATTGTTGTTGCGCATGACAGGTTATCCTTGTTTCTTTTCTTATTTACTCTGAGAAACGAAAAAATTTAGGCCTGTTACCTTGACAATCGCAATAACGGCTAGTGAGGCTTTAATATGTTACCACTCTTGGTCCCTAAAAAGCTTACATAGAATATGTTGTACCTGTACTAACATATGCCTCACAGGTATGTACCCCTCAAAAAACAGAGTGTAAAAACAGATGGGTTAATCGACAAAATTACTATCGCCAAGCTATATCAAACGTTCTTCCGAGAAAATTTCAACGAGGTGAACTCATGCACATGGCGAGTGTTATGCACTTTTGGAATCTGCAACACCCTGAAAAAATTCAATTTTGTGCCATATGAAAACTGAGGGGTGAAAACCCTTGGACAGTTGTCCTAAAGCATATACTACTACTACTACTACTTTCCTTTGGGTTGTCAAAATTGGCTGGAAAAATATGTAAAACCGACCCATAATCAATAGAGCTTTTTCAACTCTTCGAGAGTGGTCAGAACAACAGTTTACTGTTTTAATCAGGTTCTGAAAATCAGGTACTGTTTTGAATAAACAGAATTAGCTACATCCACCCCAACAGGTATGTCTTCATTATATAAGTCTTTTGTTACAGGGCTGAAATGTTTAACGGAAAAGTATTCTTAATTTTTCCGGTTAGAACCGCACGAAGTTGATAGGTGAAAGCTATTGTTCATCAAATCTGAAAAATTTCATAAGAGTACGCACAACCTCATTGTTTCGAACATCTATTATTATTTGTTGCAAAACACATTACAAAATTCATGTTGATTCATGTTTTTCCTTAGGTACTCAAAATTCGATTGATCACATCAACACTTATTGTAATCGATTGATCACCCAAAGGATTGTAATCGAGTTTGTTTTGTTTATTGTTATTGTAACTATGTGTATCTAATGATGTTATAATATTTTTATGAACCGATAGGAAAAAAACAGAAAACATTTGACATACACTTGTGTATTGAAATTAATTTCGATGTGCAATTAAAGTGTTATTTTTTTTTTCTTATCAATTAACAGTTATCATCTCCTTTTTAAATTATTTTCTTTTCCATATCTAGAAAATTTCAAGGATGTTGATGGAATATGTGATGAAAGGACTCCTGACTGTAACCTCGGTGACTATGATACTTTAGACCATCTGATAAATAATAAAAAAGAAAATTAAAAACTTGGGACAGATTCTTTATCACTATTATTGAAATTGCTAATTGGGTTTTTCCAAAAATAAATTTTTGACATGGTTTGAGAGAGAGAGAGAGAGGAGAGAGAGAGAGGAGAGAGAGAGAGAGAGAGAGAAAGAGAGAGAGAGAAGTTGAATTACGTCTTGACAAGACAGTATTAAACACACATCTATAAAGCAAAAGCAAAGAATAGAATAGACATTAGAGCACACATAGTTCACTTGGTGTATCGTGTGTGGGTTATGGTAGAGAAGTAGCACTTAGTCCCGTTCCGTTACAGGTTGTATGGCATTACAAGTGAGTAGGTGAAATTTCCCGAATATTGGATTGTCGTGACATGGTTTGAATGACTGAATGAAACCATGTTTCAAGAACAAATATTTTTGCAAATACGAATTTTCTTCGGAATAAAATCTTGAATTTGATTTGATTTGCATTATTTTCCTATTTAATCCAAAAGTATCAACTTGTTCTCTTCATGGTTTTTTCGGAAAACTTCATTCAGTTTTTGTCATATGGCTATTCTATTTTCTATCACAAATTTCGATTGAGTTTTCCGGGAATGATGATTTTCTTATTACGTCATGAAACGTGTTATATTCAATTAGTGTAAGATAAATGACAAATGCCTTCGATGAAGTTTTGAATATGCAAAATACTTGCATGAACTTCCTCTTAGCGAACGAAATTATCTAATAGCAATGGTTTGATCAATTACCGATCGCTTGCTCTCATAATTTTTTTTGGTTTAAGCAACTTTTTTTGAAGTAGAGACGAAGATTTGTTTCTCTAAGTTCTGGCTACCTAAATATTTGCTCATAAACACGGATTAAACGAAGTAGTCCGAAAACCTTTTTTTGCTTAGTAAAATTATTTTAGATTTGAATATCATTGAAAATGGGTGACGCAAAAGGCGATGATCTTGCTACGGCAATTTTGAAGCAGAAGATGAAGCCGAATAGGCTTATCGTGGAAGAAGCTATTCAAGATGACAATTCAGTTGTGACGCTTTCACAAGCAAAAATGGACGAATTACAGTTGTTCAGAGGAGATACGATTCTCATTAAGGGAAAGAAGAGGAAGGAAACTGTTTGTATTGTTTTATCGGAAGACACATGTGCCAATGAAAAAATAAGAATGGGAAGAGTTATAAGAAACAATCTTCGTGTCCGACTAAGTGATGTTGTGAGCATTCAGGCTCTTCCTGATGTGAAGTATGGTAAACGAATCCACGTACTTCCCATAGATGATACAGTCACTGGACTGACTGGAAATCTGTTTGATGTTTATCTGAAACCATATTTTCTTGAAGCATACAGACCAGTTCATAAAGGAGACATCTTCATCGTAAGAGGAGGAATGAGAGCAGTGGAGTTCAAAGTTGTCGAAACAGATCCAACGCCTTACTGCATTGTTTCATCTGATACAGTTATACACTGCGAAGGGGACCCTGTTAAGCGAGAGGTAAGCATAGAATCTTTGATAATAAACTTGTCAATTGAATCATACGAGAAATTTGCTGGCTCTGACTCAGATTTTCTTGTTTTGGAAATCGATAATTTTACTACCGAGTTTGAAATTGTAGTGATTAATAATCAGTTTTTTTTCAACAACTCAATTCGCACAGTTTAGTGAAAATCTTTGCAAATTAAACGGAATATTGTTTTTTGTGCGAAGATGTTAACCTCATGAGCTAACTTTTAAACTGAAAGTTTGCCTTTTATCATATTAAGGAGCTTGAGGTTTGTCAGTTTGCTGGACTAAAAAGGTACCATGAATAGTTATGAGAAGGGATCGAGTGCTAAATCATATTAAAGTCCTTTTTGTCAAGATTCAAACTAAACAAATTTTTTCTCAAAAATTCCGTGTCGCGAGAAACCAGTTTGAAGTTTTGACTTTGTTCTTTTTTCGATCGAATTAGTTTTCTAAGTTTTTTGTTGCCTACTACTATTACTACTAAAAAAAATTAAAAAAAAGTTTGCAGAAAGTTACTATATATTTAATTATGTTTGAAACACGACTGAAAGGGCTTTAATATGATATATCATTCAACCTATTCGGATGAGTATTTGTGGTACCTGATTTTAAGTGGAAAGCATAAAAAATACAACACAATCGAAAACAAATTTCCTCCCCATTTTCATTGGTCGCATCAATAAAGTGGCGCATCGGTACTCATGGTGCCCAGCAATCATCTGATTGCGGGCTCAATTCGCACATGCAATGCAATTTACCAGGTGAGCTCTTGTACGATGGCATTTGAAAAAAGACATTTGAAAAAAAGAACCTGGTAAGTTTTTTATTACCGTGGTCGGTGTACTTGCACAGTAACCGGCTATCTTTGTTTATATGTGTGATTGCAGCTTCCTAGTCAATTGGGCCGATAGAGATAATAGTGTTTTTTCTTTAAATTTAAAAGGTGGACTTAAAGCTGATAAGAAACTGCAGTTATTGAGAAGTTCGAATACTAATTTTCATTCTAGGAAGAAGAGGAAACTCTAAATGAAATTGGATATGACGACGTCGGAGGTTGTCGCAAGCAGCTGGCGCAGATCAAGGAAATGGTCGAATTGCCTTTGAGGCATCCAACACTCTTCAAAGCAATCGGTGTAAAGGTAAACCGATTGCTCATAGCCTTAGAGTTACATTAAACATTTCAAGTATCTGAAGTTAAAAGTTATTTATTTAGCCTCCTCGAGGAATTCTCCTCTTTGGACCTCCAGGAACAGGAAAGACTCTGATTGCAAGAGCGGTTGCCAACGAGACAGGATCATTCTTTTTTCTCATTAACGGGCCAGAGATTATGAGCAAACTTGCTGGAGAATCCGAAAGCAATCTGAGGAAAGCTTTCGAGGAAGCCGAAAAGAACTCCCCAAGTATCATTTTCATCGATGAATTGGACGCTATTGCTCCTAAGCGGGAAAAAGTAAGATTATGCAAGTAAATTTTATGCAAGTAAATTCCATTGCTGCTTTTCCAGAACGGAGATGCCAATTTAGGTAAATGTAATCCGTCTTGACGGGAATTCAATTGACGTGCTTATGATATTCTAACGATCATGGAAACGCGTTGCTTAAGAGCATAAATTCTAATTGAAAACAATGAGCTTTTTGGTTTTTGTAATTCTGGAAAATTAAATTGACTTGACCCTTAAAATATTGCTCAAGACATATTTTCACACAAGACCGTTTTAGCCCCCTTTAAATCATAGACGCCAGAAAAATATAATTTTGTTTCTAGGTTTGTCGCAGGGGTTATAATTATAGAGCCAAATAACGAAATGTTTTAATTGCCATATCCGCTGAAATTTTACTTCTGCTCTAGCAAGCATTTAAAATGTGAATTTTTCTTAGACTCACGGAGAAGTCGAAAGAAGAATTGTATCACAATTGCTCACTCTCATGGATGGATTGAAGCAGAGATCAAACGTGGTGGTCATGGCGGCAACAAACCGACCTAACAGTATCGACGCCGCCTTGCGACGATTTGGAAGATTCGACCGGGAAGTTGACATTGGGATCCCGGACACCACCGGGCGCCTGGAGGTCCTGAGAATCCACACGAAGAACATGAAATTGAATGATGATGTGGATCTGGAACAGGTTGCGTCTGAAACCCATGGACACGTTGGAGCAGATTTGGCTGCCCTGTGCTCCGAGGCAGCGCTGCAGCAGATCAGAGAAAAGATGGATCTGATTGACCTTGAGGATGACACCATTGACGCACAAGTGCTGGACTCGCTTGCAGTTACCATGGAGAACTTCAGGGTATGTTTAAGCCAGTTAACCATATGTGAATTTTGCTAATTAGCTCCCAATCCATCAGAGTCAAACGATTCCAGTTCTCTGTATCATTATGAAGATATTAGCACAAAATAGAAAGAATGTTCTTAAAATTATCTTTTCGTTCTAGTTCGCTCTTGGCAAGAGTAGCCCTAGTGCTCTGCGAGAGACGGTTGTCGAGATCCCAAATGTCACTTGGGAGGACATCGGAGGCCTGGAGAACGTGAAGCGGGAGCTGCAAGAGTTGGTGCAATATCCAGTCGAACATCCCGAGAAGTTCCTCAAGTTCGCTATGAGTCCCCCAAAGGGTACGTTTTATAAATTACTGTCTTAAAATCAAATAGTTTACGAATGGTTAAGAAACAAGCTGTTGAGAATATCAGAGATTTTTTGTTTTTGTTCAATTTTGATTTTTTACAGGTGTGTTGTTCTACGGACCACCTGGCTGTGGTAAGACGCTTCTCGCCAAGGCCATTGCAAACGAGTGCCAGGCTAACTTTATCTCCATCAAGGGCCCTGAGCTGCTGACCATGTGGTTCGGAGAGTCCGAGGCCAACGTGCGAGATGTGTTCGACAAAGCGAGACAAGCAGCTCCATGTGTGTTGTTCTTTGACGAACTGGACAGTATTGCTAAATCGAGAGGCGGAAGCGTGGGGGATGGAGGAGGAGCCAGTGACCGGGTCATTAACCAGGTCCTGACCGAGATGGACGGAATGGGCTCGAAGAAGAATGTGTTCATCATCGGAGCCACCAACAGGTATGAGAGATGCTAAAAACTGATTGTTTCAATTATGAAAAAAATTGGAATAAGATATTAAATTCCATTAGAATTAGTTTTCAAGGAAAAATTTGCTCCTATGAAATATGTCATTACAAACTGTTTAGATGTTTGTATGAAAATATGCAGCTGTAAAATGTGAGCGTCTGTAAAAACCTCACTTCGGATGGATTTTTCTTCAGGCCGGACATCATTGACTCAGCTATTCTGCGTCCTGGTCGGCTTGATCAACTGATCTACATTCCGCTGCCTGATCTGAAGTCGCGAATGGCCATTTTGCGGGCCAATCTGAGAAAGAGTCCAGTGGCTAAAGACGTGGACCTCGACTACCTGGCCAAAGTCACCGAGGGGTTCAGGTCAGGTGTTACTCTGGCTAATCAGGGTTGAAAACATGCTATTAGAATTGAAAGCTATTTTATTTTGAAATTTGAAAACCTGGAATCTAAATCTCCTAATTTTGCAGCAACAAATCAGTTGGATGTGTGAAATATGTCATTTTTGAATCTAGATCTATTTGTTGCGAGGAAAGAGATAATAAACAAACAACTCGTTATACTAGGATGAGTAAATGTTGAAATAGAGTTCATTATTCTAGTGGTGCGGATTTGACTGAGATTTGTCAGCGTGCGGGTAAGTTGGCCATTCGAGAGTCAATTGAGAAGGAGATTGCATTGGAGCGAAGAAGACGCGAACACCCTGACGAGGACATCATGGAGACGGACCCTGTGCCGGAACTGAGACGGGACCACTTCGAGGAGTCGATGAAGTTCGCTCACCAGTCTGTCAGTCAGAATGATGTGCGCAAGTACGAGATGTTCGCCCAGACCCTCCAGCAGAGTCGAGGACTGGGAGGAAACTTCCGGTGAGTCAAACTTTTGGTCATACTTCCCAAGGGATCTTGTCAAACGGGTTAAAGTCGTTGCTCCTTGAATGCAAAAAAAGATTGGCTAGACGAAGTTTGGATTAGTTTTGAACGATCACTTTCGAGCATTCGAAGCAATTCGTTTACAAAAAATAATCCATCAAACCAGAAAATAAATCAGTGTGCCCAAAAGTATCAGCCAAGAAGCTCGGATTGAGTTAGCGTGTAAAAGATGCTAGCCATTGGATCCAAACATTCAATGCTGTGTACAAGTATAATATGACAGATATTTGGGACCACGCAAAAGGGGGTTGGGAAGGGAAAGATGATGTTAGCTTGATTTGAAGTTGGAATTTCTTAACGTGATGTGAAATTTGAAGATATCTAAAATTAAAAAATTCCCTGTTTCAGTTTCCCGACCTCGGGTGCCTCAGGAGGAAGTGGAGGCACTGGAGCCCCTGGAGGAGCCGGAATGTTCCAGAACAACCAGGATGACGATGACCTCTACAGCTAAGCACTCCCAGCCCAGCCCTGATGCAAGGATCAACTGGAGGCGGAAGTGCTGATTTCAAACGACTGCTGATTGAAATGAACAGTGACTAATTTTAGATCTGAACTGAACTGAACTTGTTCATTGACTTAAAAGAGCTTATCGAGCCCCACAACTCGCAGCTCTCTGGTTAACTGATTGGTTTTTGTTCGCTTAATTTTACCTGTTTTATATAGTAGTAAGTTATATCAAATAAAGAAACGAGTGATAAGTTATAATACCATAACAACAATTTAGGCAAACTGCGTTTGTCGGCAAAGTTAGACAAATGGAAGTTAAGATATCATCGTGATTATATTTACGTAATTTGTTTAAAATGTGATGTTTTAAAACTAATTGAATATCTGAGATGGAATTTTTCAAAGCAAGTCAACCAAGATTAAAAAATCAATTAGAACTGTTAAAAAATGGGCCCAAATTTATCGAAACACTGAGCAAACAGTTTGGCTTGTCAAAGTTTTTAACGGAGGTGAATTTTTCCTTCTCAAAAATTATTCAAAGTTGAATTAAGGCAAGCTTCTTGGTCGTATTAATCCGTCAAGAAACTTAATTGTACGTAATTAAGAGTTGATCAACGAAGTGAAGATTCCCAAATAGGTCTCGATTTTTTGTTTTTCAGAAAAGTCTTGTCTTCAATTGCTCAAAAACTAAAAAAGTGAATTCAAAAATTATTTCATTTAGGGATAAGCTTTGAATTAAAATCAAAAAGTTCATATTTACCAAGGTATTTAATTCAACTTCATCTGCTACAATTTAGGCAAAATTGATCTTTCCAATTACGAAAACTTAAGTGGCGAGAAAACTTCAGATCTCTCAGCGGAATAAAAGTTTTACCGAGCCAGTTTTTTCAAATTAGTAAATTGTTTCAAAAAGTGAATCGCCAACTGTTCAGGAAATGCGAAGAGCATTATAGCCAGATATTTTGTCTCTGAACTGCGAAAATTGAATTTTTTTTCAAAAATAAGACAATAATTATTTAAATTAAAACTCACGTGACATGTCTTTGTTGAACAGTCAAGCATTTTTTCAGGCAAAAAAATTACTTGATTCATGTATTTGTTGAGCACTGCAGAATTTTTTTTAAATGCAAATTAAACATGTTTTTGTTTTTGTCTAAAAATTAAGCTTTACTTAAAACAAAAGATTTAAGAACTCAGATGAAAGCAACATTTCTTTGATTTATATAGCGAAAAGGAAAAATTGTCTTGGTTGTCCTGATAGTTAGTTCTAACGCAAACCAAAAATTTCTCAAGTTTGCAAGTTTCGTTTTAAAAATTACCAGGTTAATATTTAAAATTAAATTTGATTTTGTGCAATTTTGTTCAAACCACTGAAAAAGGGGAAGAACTTTGGATTCGGGTGTTTGTTTTTTTTTGTTTTCCACGGAAATTCAGCTACCACAAATAACCATTGGAATGATATATAATATAAAAGCCGTTTCAGTCGCGATTTGACTGAAATTAACACATTTCAAAATTTTTTACACTGTGGAGAAAAATTGGTTTGAAATTTTGATATTTGGTCTGATTTTGAGCTTATAAGTAAAGAAGTTAGTAAATGCAATAGCTTATTTAAGGTTAATTTAAGCCACGAAAACTTAATTATACTGAAGACAAAGGAGTTTTTGGAGTTTTTTAGCGCAATTTTAGGAATCAAAATTTTCTAAGTTCAAAAATTTCCGCAATTTTTTTTTTCGTTTTTCTAGTCATTTTTTTTCAAAAACTGTTTTCCAACTGACCAAATTTTACTATGACCAAGGTTGAAATAGAAATATGAAAAGCAAGCTTTAAACTAAAATCAAAATTTGCATACCGGTTTTTCTCGACACTGAAAATGCATTTCCACTCGACTCATTCCGGTAATCTTTTGTGGTACCTGATTTTTCTTGGAACGATATGCTTGAAAGGAACATAAAATTGCGTGGAATCAGGCCTGGACTTCATTTTTTGTTTGATCTTTCAAAATTGCAAATGTTTTAATTTCTACCCGAAGCTACAAATAACCATGGATACTTTCATCTAAGAAAACCTGCTAATTAGTTGGCAAAAATCTCGTAAAAATGGAATGTGTAGTTTCGCGCATATTAGTAAATTTAGAACTTTGCACAGGTTTATGACAAGAAAAAATAACTTGCTAGGTGACCAAATCAGCTTCTAGATCCGAAAAAACTGTGCTCGAAATTTTTGGGGATGAATTTCTTTCATATTGATGCTTATCTCACCTTTTGCAAACTTAAAAAAAAATTTTGTGGCTCCCCAACAGTTTGTGGCACCCATCAAGTGTTACTAGTTTTGGCTCTTTTGAGCGAAAAATTGAGTTTGACATACAACATTGCATTTTATTCCTGTAAATTATTCAATCTCAAAAAAATTTATTTGAGCATAACAATTATTTTGCGGTGACCAAATATTAGAAAATGTTCCAAAAAAAATCTGTTTTCCTGACTTTTATAGAAGGGTACCTAGCAGGTTTCCAGGATTGGTTTTCAAGGATGTTTATCTTTGAGCTCCTGGCAGAGTTCCTGGATACCCCGTGCCAAGAAGTTCAGGATTGCCCTGGAATCATTAATTTCCTAGCGTGAGTCCCAAGTTTCTCCCCAGGCTATGTAACCCGGGTTATACTCAACTTTAGTAAGTTAAAGTCACACCACAATAGGATAGTGCATGTAATTGATCGCTTTTTCGTTCTTGATGAACAAGATGTTATGCATGGCATTTTTAATAAGAAGGTGACGCGACATTCTTGTGTCATTTTTTCCTTGTTTGCTTTAATCGCAAAAAATTTCCTAATCAAAATGCAAAAAAGATAAAGAAATTTCCAATTTTTTTTCTCGTGTGCAAAAACCAGAAAAAACGTCAGTTATTTGACTTTTAGTAGGCATCTATTTCGAAGATCCCAAATTGATAAAAATGATATCACTTGAAGTAGTTTTGAAATGGTTAAGTTATTTTCGAAGTTATTCTGCTTTTTACTGTCTTTGAATGTATAATAGTGAAACAATTTTGTTTTTGAAATCTGTCAATGAATCAGTAGCGGATTTAGGGTAGACAGGGGCAGACGCCCTCTCGCCTCAGGGATTTGTCGACCCCTTGCCTTTGTTCTATTTCAGACAACCATTTTTGGCTGACTGAACCTAAATTGTTTCTAAAGGCGCCTTTGGCGCCAGGATATACTTAATTGAGGGGGGAAAGGACGCCAAAAAAAATCTTTTTATGATCAAAATTTTCCAAAAAAATTGCCTAAAAACGCCTCTATTGGGCTAATTTTTCAAAAAATGCCCAAATTTTTTTGTCACAGTAGGGTTTATTTTTTGTCAAAGTAGAGCATTCGATGGTTAAAGTAGAACTTCTCGACCAACTTTCGGTATGTTTCGACTTTCTTGGCCAAATTTTGACATGCTTTGATTTCCTGACCCAATAAAAAAAGTGAAAAATTTTCTTCGACCCTGTTCAGATATGTTTGTGTTTCGACTTTCTCGACCGTCTTTATCGAAACTTCAAAAAAAATTGTTCGGCGCCACAAAATTGGGCACAATGTGACTCTCTCTCTCGACGTTCTCAACTTTTTCAACCTATAAAAGTTTCCAAAATTCATTCGATCTATCTCATATTTGTTTCAACAGGCTTTCAGTACCCAAGGAATTTTCTGTGCATGATCTGAAATTCTTTATTTCTTACATTAGTTGATTCTCAGATGTGAAATTCTTTATTCCTTTCATTAGTTGATTCTCAGATGTGAAATTCTTTTTTTGATATCTTGATGAGAACTTGAAAATTTTAGATCCGAAATAACCTTGACAAACAAAATTTCAGATATGAAATTAGATCTAAGAAACCCTTTGTTAAATTATGATTTATGCATTTCGAGCAAACATTTGAATTTTTCTTTTTTGATGTTTCTGCGATTCCCAATTATGTTGAGATTAACCAGCGGAAAAAAAAATTTCCAAAAAATTCCCAAATATTAAAACATGTCAATTGTAAGGACGACTCAACCGCTCAAAGCCACCGATTTTGTTATCAAGTCGGTATTCGCTATTTGATATTTTTCTAATTAGTCAGACTTTCGAAGAACTTGTTGTACTATTTGTGCTTCGGTGGTTTTATATACATATAGTTTTCAAATTTTTAACCAATCATTTTGAACAGGAGTTTTTATAAGCACCTTAAAGCCAGTGATGACCTGAGTTCAAATTTAAAAGGAAATTGTAGCTGTGATGATCACTTTTTGAACAGTTATCGAAGCTTCAAAACTGCCAATTTGCCTAATTATTAACGCGTTACTAGACGCTAGCAACATAAAGCGTTACTAGACGCTTTATGTTAAAGCGTTACTAAAGCGTTACTAGACGCTAGCATCATAACTTTAAGCTTTCTATATAGTGTGGAGGAAGTTTTCAAAACAAACTCCAAGAAAAATTGCTCTTTACTTCTTTTTTTTTTTGAAAATTTCATCGTTTTTGCAAATTAATGTGTTCAAAAACTATTCCAAAATTTAGGGCAGTCAAATGGTTCAAGGTTTCAATTTGTTTTTGGGAGGGGGCAGTTTTGACAAAAAAGGGTTTTTATCAGGGGCGAGCTTTTTTTTAGGTCAACCAATTTGATAGCGGTTTTAGCCTCTTATTGGAAAGTTTTGACCAAAAAATTGCGCTTTTTCGGCGCGCGGTCACCCCTGAAAATTAGTATATATTGGCGCTGAAGGCTCCTTTAGAACGTTTTTAGGGTGCCCATGGTGTTCTGGGACCGCTCGGAATATCTTTTGACCTTTAAAATAAAACTCAAAAATTTGCCTCTCCCTGGAGAAAATCATAGATTGTTTATGTTTAAGGAAGTCATGGGATTACAGTGGGTTCTTCGGTGGGTCCCTTCATCTTCTTCATCGCCGGAAGACAACCAGCGCAACTTCGAGGATCATCATATGGCATGTTTGAACTAGGACCTTCGTCAACCTTCCTAAGGAAAATAGCTCACAACTCATTAAATGAAAAACCAAACTCATGAAAACCAAACAAACTTTGTGACCTTTTTCATAAAGGGTTGCTTTGAATGCTGTTACTAAAAAAAAGTGTTTTTTACATAGCATTTTAACAATCCACGGACCTAGAATTTAATAAGTACTGAAGGGAATTTCGTGTCGTTCACCGAAGACGAGAAGATAATTGCATGTTTTTTTTTTCTAAATGTTAATTACCAATTTTAAGTAGCGTCGTATGTGAATAATCACAATCGAGAACATTTATCTGCTTTGAAAAGTTTGGAGCTTTTTTCCATGTTCTCCTCACGGCATTTCGGGTGTTTCCACTTATTCTTCTCAAAACTAAATCTTGAAAAAAATGCTGTGCTGGAATCTTGTTGAATGAAATTAGCCCATCAATTTCATGCATCAAAACAAATCATATGAAGCCAGTCGTATCCTCCATATTTATATGTAGATATAACCGAGCAGAAAGCCGATTTTCTTCAGAAATTCGAGATTTTGCCACAAATTTAAATTGAAGCCTCTAATGGTGTTTTGTTGTTTTAATGAGGGTGTGTAAGATTTAAAAGTTATGGCGAAGCGTGTGAGTGGAAAAAAAACCAAACAAACTTTCAACTCTTTTCTGCTAATTGGTTTTATGTGGCCAAAATCTTAATTTTCCTCGAAAATTTATATTTTTCTGAATTCGATAAGATAGAAAGCACTTCGAGAATTTCGGGCGGAATAAGAAAATAGACCGCGGCGTTTTCTATGAAACCAAATTTTTGTCGTCCAAACAAACGCACAAACCAAACGCACACCATCAAACTTCGAACAAATGCACCAATCAAACGTTGTGACCTTTTTTATGAAGAATTGCTTTGAATGCTGTTACTAAAACAAATAAGTGTTTTTTAAATAATTTTTAATTGTTATTTTTGTGTTAAGTAAGGCTAAACTCTTAAGTTATTTTTTTTTAAATGCATACTTTTTATCCGCTGTTTTGTTGTTTTTGAAATTGTAAATGAAATTGTATCTTTCCAATTTTAGAAAACTTCGAAAAATGATATCTTTTAGTCTTTTCACAAGTTTTGTCGTGGTCGCCGATTATATGTCAAGAGCGGGTCCTTTCTGTTAGACTTGGGCCGGCATTCGGCTCCCAGACATAAGAATATGTAGCTTCGTACTTTCGCATCCGCCTCTACACATGAAAATGCGTTGCACAGAGCCCCTTTTTCTCTGGTTTTGACTACTTTGTTTTGCCAAGTAACTTTTTTCTTTTGGTTGCGAATATCCCGGTTACGTTTTGTCTTTCGGTTTACCGCTAATTTTTATCTCCTGCATTGGCGCTGGCAATTCGATACGCACTGGTTTGACTCGAAATAAATAATTATAAATAAACAAAAAATATCTATATAATTAAAATAAATCAAGAATTTGTGCCAATCCGACCGGATGACGAGCATATTGTTTTTTCAGCTCTTTCAATCTCAAATAATTGAAAAAAAATGCGTTTAGTCTTTGTAGTGGAATATTAGACAATTTGGAAATTATTTGAGAAACAAAAATGGATATCAAAGAAAAGTACCATGGGGGATCCTTTGGTCGGTAGGTGGCAGATTGCAGAAGAATCGAGTCTGCCATCCACCCCTTTCCCTCCGCCTCCCCTAAACCCAGTACTAGTAGCATGTTAAATTTTGCTCTATTCAAGCATAAGCGGCGAAATTTTGTTTTAAAACGTCCCAGTTATTGTTTTGAATTAGTGCAGACTATTTGTTCTAACTGTAAGGTAAAAATAAAAGAAATTTATCATTTTTCATTTTTGGCTCTTGGAAGGTGAATATTTAAGGAAACCTATAAAACTTTTTATTTTTTTTAAAGGAAATTTTGACCTTTTTATTATTAAAATAGAAAACTATTCCGAAAAAATTAAAGGTTATTGAAAAAACAAAAGGCGTTGACTTTATACGAGCAATCTTTTTGTCGCAAATTTTGAAAAAAAGCTGAGACAATTTTTTGCTGCTCTGGGTGGTTTCCCACTCAATTTCAATTTTTTATCCGGTCATCTTTGTCGTATTTCAATATCAATTGTTGTGTATTGATTTTTCGGGCTTAAAAACAAGTCAAACTTTGATTATTTTGAAAAGTTGTAGTGGTGTTTTAGTCAATTCATGATCATTCGGTGGAAATAATTATTTTAACTTAAGTGTTCATAACGTAATCGTAAGAAAACGCTGCAATTTGCTTTCAAGCCAACATATTGTCTTTTTTGGTTTTTTAAAGACTCAAAAATTATCGGTTTTTACTATACATAAATTAGAGGAAGAATCAACAGAAAAAATGAAAGTTTAAGCATTTTTTGACGAAAAAAATGTTCAGGGGTTTATTCTGAAACGAGCAGTTTTTTAGTATACCATGCTATGTAAGCTTATTAAATGGAGCAAATAGCAGGCCTAAATTAAATGCGAAACAATTTTTGAGCCGGATTCAAAAAACATAAATGAGGGATGAAAGCACGAGTTATTTTGCGTTAATCATTGCGGAATAGTAGCCGACAGACTCTCCAAATCTTACTAAAAATAACATGAAAAAAGTTGAATTGACTTAGTTTGCGAAAACAAATTTTTTGTCTGATATCTTCCATCAGAAAGCAAGAGAGTAATTTCCGCCTGTTAAACAAAGGGATGGTTCGATTTACATGTACCGGCCTTGACACTTAAGCATCCAAATCAATACTCATATACTAAAACTCTTACCTTCAACAATGGCGCTTGATGTTAAGACTTAAGGGGCAGTCCTCCTGCCGCACCAAACTACAAACTTCCTTCAAAAATTTTCTGATCAAGAGAAACTGTATCAAATTTTGAAATTAAAAGTTTCAGAAAAATCTAAATACGTTGTTTCTGTAGCTGTTAAAGTTTTGGTTTCTTTTTTTCCTCAAATCCACTTTCTTTTGACGATTCGTTTTTTCACTTCTCTTGAACACTCTGATTTTTTGCCGTGTAGTCGGTGATGAAGACAAATGTCCGTCTGTGGCGGGAATAGTTGACCAATGGGTAGGCCTGACGGCGAAGACTCCGAAATCTCCTTCGCGGCATGGCTACCGTAGACCTGGGTCAGTTCCTTCTTGAGGTTCTCGACGAAGAAAATTTGTTACTATTTTGTTCTCCCATTGTGTCTGGTAAGGACTTCTGTTGGTTTTCTACCAATTCGGTCGAACTTGAGGCCTGAATTGAATTTATGATAAGCAGAGGGCAATGCTCTGAGATGAGATTCGGATCTAAAACTAGATGCTCCTCTGATGATACTTGGAGTACGCCAGCCGCGTCCGTAACTATTTCAGGTCCAGGTTGTATTGTTATCTCCTGGTCTTGTTGGCTCGGCTGTTGTCTACTTTTATCGAGATCAGTACTGATTTAGAGCGTGAAGTTGGTCGATAGGAGAAAAGTTTGCCACTGGTGGATTGATTATGCCGCTAGAGCTGTAAGATGATCTCGTGAAATTTATAATCGGAACTGCTGCAGGAGGCGTCTTGAGTGGAGTACTTGTTCTGCCTGCCTTGGATGCAATATTCCGTAGCTTTGCCTGGACTGCACCAGGAGCTGACATCGACGAAGTTGCTGTGAGTTCTTTTGTCGGAGCTGGGACCTTCATGCTTTGTGGTTCGTTCCATGACGTTGAAGTAGAAATCTTGTGTTGTATCTTTGCTCTTTTTCTGGTGGTTGGCTTCCCGAGTCCTTGGCGACCAAAAACATGTGAAGTGTTTATTCTAAGAGAATTATCACTTTTTCTAATAACTTTTCGTGGCTCCGTAACATAGGTCGAAGGTGTGACTTCGACATTTCTATCCATGTAACGCTGAAGAAACTGTTTAACCGACTTACGCTTGGCAGCCTTCCTGTAACTTTCTATTGATTGCAGATTAAATAAAAGTAAAGACTTAATTTTACTCTTGGACTTAGATATTCAAAGGTCCGTTGTATTAGATCTGAATCTAAGCGTTCCCCATATTAGGCTATTTCATGGTGAGGGCGCTGAAAGTTGGTTCCGATCCGTTAGAGTACCTAGTGCACGACATGATTCCTCGTGTGACAACTTCTTCTTCCAGGTTAACCACTCATTGGGTCTTTTTGCAACTTGATCCAGAGACTTGAAGTAGGAAGTGTCCGAAACTGATGGGAGTCCACTTGAAAATTCAGTGGAACATCACGACTCGGACAACTAATCCTTACCACCTTGAACCCTGGTCTGCTCTCACAGCTCTCTCTGTTGTCATATGCGGTCAGAAGGTCCTTTTCCAAATGATGTTTGTCTCCACAGCAATACACTAATTTTTTTTGTTTTCGAATATCTTCAACAACCATTTTTAATTCCGATTGAATATCCGGTAGATTTTATTCTAAGTGAAGATTTCCTAGTTTTGTTCTAATCGTCTGGATTGTGCGTTCTACCAATCCGCAACCTCAGTGTTCAGAGACCGGACAAAGGTTATGTTTTTTTCCTTTCGACTTATTATTTGTTTCAATTATTATACGTCAAAAATTTGTTTCTAAAACCTGAATATTGTTAAGCTCTAATGCTTTTTGGTAGATTATGTGTACAAATGTAAACCTCCAAAAACTTTAGGATTTTCTCGGCTCCTGTAGTCCTGATAAGCATAGCTGATGGATATCTGGAGAATCAATCGATAGCTACTAAAACACTTTCTTGATTTCCTGAGCCATAAGATAAAAGCCGGCATAATGGGTTGTCCACTTGAAATTTCAGTAAAACATCACGACTCTGACAACTAATACTTACCACCTTGAAACCTGGTCTGCTATCACACCTCTCTCTTTTGTCATCTGCGGTCAGAAAGTCGCTTTCCACATGATGTTTGTCTCCACTGGAATTATCTAGTTTTTTTGTCAATTGAATATCTTCAACAATCATTATAAATTATGATTGAATATCCGGTAGATTTTCCTCTAAGTGAAAATTTCCTAGTTTTCTTGTAGTCGTCTGGATTGTGCATTCTACCAATCCGCAACCTCAGTGGACAGAGACCAGACTAAGGTTATGTTTTATTCCTTTTGACTTATTATTAGTCCACAAATTTGTTTCTAAAACCTGAATATTGTTAAGCTCTTATGCTTTTTGGTAGGCTATGTGTACAAATG